GCGTTCTAAGTTGAAACTAGTCAATTGATCCCAGTCGAATAAAATTTAGGCGAAAGGTTTAGATAAAGTATTTCACGATGGACGGATTCATTGTTGTATAAATTTTTTGCGAAGGATGGAACGAATTCCCAAAAGCTTCCGTCCTGTTTTATCTATCGATTAAAAAAGAAGGAAAAAGGAAGAAGGGTGAAAGAGTGGAATTCGTTTCGCCGTTAAATTTCTTCGAATTATTCAATCCCTCGCTCTATCATTCTATGCGCTCCGCGCATTGTTATACCGCATTGTCATGTAAAATTGCTTATTAGCGGACAAAAGAGGAGGAGGGGGGGCTACGTGATCGCATGAATGGAAGGCCGATGAATATGGAACGAGGTTTGCACGAGGTTCGATCAGCCCGGAATTATCCAACTATCGTCCGGCTGGATTAATTGCGCGGGGCGCGGCTTCGATAAACACAGGCCGCGAAAGGAAGAGTTTCCGCGTAAATATTAATTAGAAGCGGGCGACGCGAAAAAGTATGGGAGAGACACGTGAGATTTAATTGCGCATTGTTATCTCGGGGATTTATTCTTTCTGGAATATGCATCACCCTTCCGATTAGAATTCATCAACTTTCTCCAGCGCCAACTCGAGAATCGAATCTCCTTTCCGTTCCCTTCTTTTTTCCAACATGCGCGCCAAGAATTATTTCGACTTTCTTTTTTCTAGAAACGAACGAGATAAATTAATTTTAAATCGGTGAACGACGAATTCTTGCCTTCTGCGATCTTAACGTATCCAAATAAAATAAAGTAATCGATTAATATTCGTTAGAAATTCTTTTGTTCATAATCGTGACGCGAGCACGATTTTATTTCCTTTCATACCGCTTAAAATCGATGCGATCAAGTTATTTTTTCTATAAATTTATACAGAAAACTCGTTAATACACGTATCCTCAAAAACAAATATCTAATCCAATCTTCCTTTTTTTTTTCCTGCTCCTCTCATTCTTTCATTTTCGTTTCATTTTAGCGCGACGGCTGAAAAACGGTCGCATAGTCGTGGCGAGGTTTTCGCCGTATAAAACGGAGGGGAAAAAAAGCCGACGCGGTCAGATTAGAAATAATTACCTCCGCTCTGCCCTCTTTGTTTACGCGTGATAACGTGTTTCGCGTCGCGCACGCAAACTCGACAAACCGGATTTCGCGTATTAACCCGTGCCGCGTCGCGTTTTTTAGTATTCATAGGGAACGCGTGGCGGGGAATCCGTGTCCCTATTAACGAATCCTGAAATATTAATTTTCCTCCTCCGAGCCGAGTTTTCGACCGCGATTAAACTGTCTGCCACGTCACGAGGGGGCCGTTGATTTACCTTTCCACCGTACGTCTCCGCGAATTTCCTTCCTCCTCCTCCTCCTCCTCTTCCCCCTCCTGCTTTTCGACACGCATCGCCACCGTATGAATTATTCACCCGATAACCGCTCGGACGACGTCGTACGTCGAGTAATTATCTTAGTATAATTGAGCGTAAGTAAATCGAAATCTCGAAAGGACGACTCCCCCCTCCCCGATGGGGAGTCGTTTCTTTGCAACGTTCGATCACCACGAGTGATTTAAACGTAAGATAATATTTCGCGGAGGAAACGAGGCCAATAAATTTTCCCTGCCTCGCGTGTATCGCGAGATCGCTTAATCCGAGTTCTACCAGACATCCTACTCTTCTATTTTCTGATCGGCATCGATTATATAAACGATGGTTATATTTTTGAAACGAATAAAGCAGCGATAAGCGTCTCTTTAATCTTCCATAAACTATCGTATATATATATATATAT